GGTGGACCAAATCGGCGCGAGACCGCGATCTCGAGACGATTTGGTCAGCGGCCTCACCAAGTCGCGGTCTCGCGCCGATTTGGTCGCCCTCCCCAACCCGTCCTGGGGCGTCCACCATCGGGCGACCAAATCGGCGCGAGACCGCGATCTCGAGGCGATTTGGTCAGCAGCCCCACCAAACCGGCTCGAGAACGCGACCTCACGCCGATTTGGTCGCCCTCTCCAACCCGGCCCGAAGTGCCAGAGCCAGTCGCCCATCCGACCTGCCCCGCCGCCCTCCCGCCTCGTCCCCAACCCGGCCCGGCGTGCCGGGCCCCAGCATCGCTTCCCGACCAAACCGCCACTCCGGGCCGACTTCGGCCGCTCCGACCTCTGGCCCATCCGCGAGCGACCAAACCGGCTCGAGAACGCCTGCGCCCCCCGGCCAAATCGGCTCGAGAACGCGTTCTCGGAGCGGCTTGGCCCGCCGTCCTCCTACCTCCTCCCCAACCCGGCCCGGAGTGCCAGAGGCGTCGCCCACGCAATCGCGTTCGCGCGCCCGTCTGATCCGCGGGAAAGGCGCTGCCACAAAAGCTGCGCCAACCCACGATGGATCGCTGGCCCGCTTTTGTTCTTGCGACCGGCGGGCGCGAAAGCTGCCAAATATTGCGACCCTGGGGAAAGTTTCAGGGTGTGCACTGCACTGTTCGTGAAATTATCCGAGACGCGAAATACGCACCAATTACAAAGAGCTTACGCGGCCGCTTATTTAACAGGTGCCCAAGCTGTAACCTCTGAGCAATCTCGACAACAACAAACAACAACGGATAAAACACATATGAAAATGTACCGTTTTGTAGACGTTGCGCCCTTGCTTCAGTTTCGGGTTGTAAACACCAACGTTCCCAACGTGCTTGAAGTCGCAATACTCCTTCCGCTGGTATATGTCTCCATTTTCGGCATCCAGAAATGTGTCTGGCGGAAGCGCGGACTTCCTGCGAATACCAGATCAAGGAAACGATAGAAACATCGAAGTTGATTTGGATATATTCAACTTCAAGAAGCCCGCTCAACGTGACAAAAAACGTCTACAAAAGAAGTGTCGGCCGCAGGAACAGGAACAGCAGCACATCGTGTTTAGGACAATGATAAAAATGTAGTGATGTTAAGTACTTCACTTTCGCGGGGAGAGCTGAGATTTCGTTGTAGCTGCCGCCAAGCCCGCACCCATTTATGACTCGGATGTGCTCGCCTCGTAATTGCACTAGGTAGGGTATCAAGTGGGAGGCGAATCCGGTCGCGAAAGTCGGCGTTCCGTACTGAATACACTGCCTCAGCAGAAGGCGAACGCCCTTTACGGCCTCACCCCACGGCACCAACGCCGGCTCGTCGCAGCCGATAAAAATCATATCCAAATTTTGAAACGCCTTCAAGCATGATGAATCCCCGTTCCCACCCATGTCGAACAGAAATTCATCAAGTTGGCGGTAATTGCGAACCTGATGTTCAGTTTGCAACCGGAAAATAGGCGGTCGTGGTTTTCATCTCGTTTGCGATGAGACTCGAAGTCGCATACGCATTCAGAATAAGTAGAGACATGAAACAAGCACGACAAAGAAAAACAAAAAACGACAAAATCCTGGACCACAAAGTCGTCCCGGATATTACTTATGTATACCGCTAGCGCCACCGCAGTGAGGTATTTGTAGTAGGGTCCTTCCAATGCCTTGGTGATCGTGTACTTGAAATCGTTGAAGGCCTCCCTGCCCCGCCTGGACTTGGTGAAGCCGTCTACTATAAGAACCCGCATTTTCACTTCCTGGGATGCACAGGGCTACTTAGAAGAGTCCCACCTCCAGACGTTGCTGTTTGCACACCGAGGCGACGAGAATGTCAACGCTAGAAGCAAACTCCGTTCGTACAACAGGTCGCTCCAAGTGCCGAGATGGTCTTGGCCACGTTCAGTATACCTCTACCAAACGACCAGCTTTTGATGCTTTTCTTCGCCCGTGAATTATGCGGTTGAGTTCGTACCCTGTCGTCGCAGTAGATGGAAGCAAAGCAAGTCCCAGTCGCGAAGTCTCAGTTGTCGTGGGCCGCCGTGGGGGAAACTCACCTTACTCAAATTCGTCACGTCGTTGCGGCGAAGTAGTGAAGTCTCTTCGTCACGTTGCGACACCCAGCAGTGTTCTTATCCCTAAAGGAATTCGCAGCATACCGTCGGGATTTGCCCTGTTTTTTGCGCCAACGCAGGCGCTGCAGCTTTTATGGTCGCGCCTGCGTAGGAGTGCTGTTGCCTTCCCTGGTGGGTTTTTTCACGCGGCCCAGGCGTCTTTCTAGAGGAACCAACAGGCACGCTAGCACCCCGGCGAGCCTAGACATAGACTAAAGAGGCCCCCCCCACTGCGCAGATCGACGCGCCCCGCGGGCACTCACAACACACCCACCCGGCGCAGGCGGGCATCTTTTCCGCGGCCCCGAGCCCGACGTACTCGCGACCCAAAAAAGGCCGCAAGCCGGCTCGTGCAGACTTGGTGCGCAGGCCCCTCGAGACCTCTTGGAACTCTTCAAGCGCGCCCCCATCTCTCACCCGCCGCCCCAATCACTCACCGTTGGCACCGGACCGCTTTCGCGGCCGTGGTGGACGCACTGGCAGAAGACCCGAAAAGCTTCCCGCCTGGTGTTCGTTTAAACGCTCAAAAAAGATAGATAAGAACGCCTACTGCAACGACCTGCGATTGATGTTTTGGCACGAAACAGAGTTGGAGCTTCTGCGCCGAATGTTCCCGCTCTCGAAGACTGCTGCTCTTATCCTCCACGCCGTGCATAGATAAGAACACGTTTGTAGCGACCAGAAGTTGGTGGCTGGCACGAAGCAGAATGACATCTTGTGCGCCAGATGTTCCCGCTCTCGCAAAAATGCTGTTCTTATCCTCCAAATGGTGCATAGATAAGAACACGTTTGTAACGACCTAAAAGTGGTGTTCTTATCTATGCACGAACAGGAGGGATAAGAACAGCACTTTTGAGAGAACGGGAACATCTGGAGGAGCAGCTTCAATTCTGATCCAATTACCCTACTGCAGGTTGGAAGCTGGAGAGCGACATTCCGACACTGCTGCCCAGTCGTGGTGGTCCTCGCGGGGAGGGGAAGCATTACGCGAAGTTGACGGCTATCCGAAGGCAGCTGGCTTTTTGGAAGTTGGTGAGGGGGGGCCTGCCGTTGCCAGCATTTTACGACGTTCGCCCCCACTGGTCTGCGCGGCTGGCTTGTCCGGGTGTTCTCTTCCGCGATAAGCCAGCGCCCCATCGGTCCTAATTTAGGACCGATGGCACGGCGCAGGCAACAAAGACAACACCGCAGGGGCTATCATCTGCTATCTGACACAAAGAGAGACGAATGGGCCCGCACACTGCCGCGGCCCGGTGTGACCGCCGGCGTAGCCCCGGCTTGGGGGGGGTCTTTGGGGAAAAAAAGAGCCCCTCCAAGCTGGGGCATCAGCTCGCGCCCAGGCGCGCGAACTTGGACGCAGTGGCCGGCGGTTATTCTGTCAGCGCGCAGCGCGTTCCCTGGCGCATGCGCTGGGGCTGCGCCAAGCACGAAAGCGCGACCCTCTGGAGGATGCGCGGCGAAGGCTTTGGATAGCCCTGGGCGGTCTCGCTTTTGTTGGCCTCAGACACGCCAGGCCTCGCCTAGAATGAAAAAAACTCACGAATCGCGACGGTATGGCGCGATTTCTCTTAGGGATAAGAACACGCGGGAAGATCACCTTTTTCATCTCTATAAGTAGTGAAGTCTCTTCGTCACGTTGCGACACAGAGAGTAAAGGCACTGCTAAGTAGATGCGTCAGGTTTGACGACTTACGCTGCGTTTCCTTTGGCCTTTGTCTTTGATCTTCTTAGACAGGACGCTCCGTGGTGACCCGGGAGCGATAGAAAAACGATCGTCTCTACGGAACAAAACTAAGCTCCGAAAGGAACTTCATCGTCTGCATGGTCACGGTTGTTCTCGCGCCGGAGACTCCGTTTACTCCGGGCTACTTCATCATCAACTGCCGTGGCGTCGGTCTTTTTCCATTCGACACTGGCGTGGTTTTTTTATTTTTTCGAGGCGTGCGGACGGCAAGAATACTTTCGGTTCGCGCGAGCGCCTTGTCTTTTGTGCAGACGTGACTGTGCCGCCGCGTGCGGCTCCTTAGTGTTCCTCTTCTTCACCAGCAATTAATTTCGCGGCGAGTCGTGCAGTGAGAGGCTCGAGCAAAGTGTATGACTTTTCGTCGTGGGTCCGGTTCTTATTTGACGTCAAAAACTACAAGATCCCTCGCCGACCGGATTATCATGATCTCAGTGAAGATGCACAAGAACTCGGAACCAGCATTGCGTGGATGAGAATCCAGCCAGCACACCGTCAACGTAACGCAGCACGGTTTATCACGCTGTCGCACACCCCAGGGCTCACGCAGCACGCAATAATCCAGGGATGGACGCCAGAGAAAGGCATGATCAGTTTACCGTGAATCTCAAGCAAATCACAGGTGGCCCGACGGAAATTCAGTTTTCAAAAAAAGTACTATGCACTACTCCCGCCGTGCGGGAAAAAATCTGAACCGCTAGCTGCAGCTGTAGCTCTCGCTCGGCTCCTAATCACGACTCGTGCAGGATAATAAAGCCACATTGCAATCCGGCCTTCGAATGACCAGTGGAATGGCGCACGAGTTCACTTTCTAGCGCACGAGTTCACTTTTTACACAGTTTCGCTCATGATCCTCGAATATCCTCACGTTCTGAGCAGTCCTTGACCGCCGTCGAAACACAAAGCTAAAACTCGCAACTCCCGACTTGCAAAGACTATGAAGTGCTGTTGCTGTTAGGCAGGTAGGTTTACTCAACAACTGTTTCAAATTTGAATTTGTATACACAAAGCACTCAGCCGAAAAAACCATTACCTTCTCGTTCTCGTGAACAACGATAAAACACATCAACAGCGGATCGCTGATTGTTGGTCACTGCGTCAGCTGCCCCGAAACCTCAGTATCCGATCTACTTTTTGGTCTTCTATTTTTGATTTTGGGTGAAACGACAAGAAATTCGCATATAAAATTCTTCCGTCGCTATGCGCGAGGAAAGGGAATGACAATTCTGTTAGGGAAAGTGGAAATACAAGTACAGCATACAAAAGTGGCGTGGTCGTCAAATCCTTCGTTGCGCATACTGCATCTTTCTCTTTGGTGTGTCATCCGTCAATATACAACCGTAGCAAAAGCAATGCATGCATCAATGCACCGTGCTAATTTCCGCTCCACGAAGACGAAAATCGGAGAAAAAGCCTCTTTCTACCGTCTGTGATCTGTCGTGCAATTTTCGACGTTATGCTGTGCTGCTGCGAACGGCATGAGCTTCCAATTCCAAATGTGGAGGTTGAAATTTTTGTAAACGGTACGCCTATCTGAGTGCACCAGAGAGACGACAAAGTTGTAACTCAGTGCCGAAAACTGATAATCAAGACGGATCAATCTTGGCAGGGGCCATTAGTTCCGCTACGTGTTCAAAAAGCCTATGTTCTTGAGATGTTGTTCCTTGGCCTCAGATTCTTTGGTTATCTAATCTCGCGCGTGGTACATGTCGAAGAATACAAGCAGTAAACTCCTTGTCGTGTATAGAGTTTACTGACCAGCCCCGCAAAAATCCTCGACTAGCACAAATCTTGGATTTCTGGGTGCTAGTATGATCTATTAAAACTACAGTTCTCAAAAGCTGAAAAATAGAAAGCTCGCCAGGTGGGTGTTGTTACATAGAATTAAAAATAGGTTTTGTTTTGGATCGCTGGTGTTTGCGTACTACTACTAAGTGAGATGCCGCCAAATATCCTGAATCAGTAGGGAGCCGGACGCGACTGGTCGTAGTACTGGCCTTGGGGTGGTGCTGCTGCGTATTGCGGTGCATATCCTGTAAGGTTTTGTATGATACTGATAGACTCATTGGAATACCAGGATAAGCCTCGCGCATTCGAATGAAGAATCACAAGCAAGATGAACTACTTATTTATAGTCCGAATGAACAATGTACCTTGTGCTGGTGGCGCGGCTCCGGGCTGTTGGTACTGACCGGGAGATCCTTGGTACGGTTGCTGCATCGGCGGTTGCTGGTAGCCACCCGGCGGGGCGCCATACGCTGGTGGTTGGCCGTACGCGGGCTGCTGGTACGCCGGTGGCGGCTGCCCGTAGGCCTGCTGCTGGTATGCGGGCGCACCGTAGTTCTGCGCCGGCGGAGCACCTGCAGAGATGAAAAAATGATACAATGCTGTGCACGAATTGACCATGGCTGTTCCAGTGAAAGAACGACGATCATCCATCGTGATCGTGCCTGCTGCGATCATCTTCCCGTGTGAATTGCATCCGGCGTCTTCGTCTCTGAACAAATATCCGCTTCGTCTCTGAACAAATATCCGCTTATCACAAGAGCTAGCCATCATCTAGTACGGGGAGATTTTTACTTATGCGTGAGAAGTAGAGATGAGGGACTACAACGAAAAATCGGGCAAAAGTAGAAGTACCGTATCCCTGCTGCGGGGCTCCATATTGTGGCTGTCCGTAGCCCTGCTGCTTGCCGCCGAATTGGTTGTAGTTTTTGCCGCCTTTCTGCTTTCCTCCACCCTTTCCGCCTTTGCCAAACCCCTTGCCGCCCTTGCCTTTCCCCCCTGCCGCGCCCTTCGGTTCGATCGCCTTCACATCGATTATGCATTGCAAATATGTCTGGGTCATCTGGAAGGCAGTAACTTGTGATGCTAAGCCTACACCCTGGAAAAATGTGTGTTGCATGACTGCCAACAGTTGTCCACTTTTGACCAAGTAGAGAGCGAGTTTCTCATGCAGGACCGGCATGATATAGATCTCAGAGAATCTTCTGTCATGCCAGGTCCTGCATTCCAGACCTTGACCTCATCGGAGGTCATGGAAAATCTGCATGACAAGTTCCCACGCTTCCAGACCCAAACATATTTTTGCATTTGATATCAATCCACTTCGTGCCAATGTAGTGCTGGTCCCGCATCTGGATGACTTGCTGCACGACGTTCTTGTCCGAGAATGTCACGTACCCGAAACACCGACTTCGCCCGGAAACCGGATCCGTCTGCACCCGTGCTTCCTGCACTTGCGGGTCAAATTTGACGAAGTACTCTGAAAGAATTGTTGGAGTGCAAAAGGATATTATTGTATGGTCATGATGATGATGATGCTGATGATCCCGAAAGTTCAGCGAGGACCAAAGGCGCTCGCTGCGTGACGGGTCAGGCAGCGCACTGGTTTTGACACTGAAGAAGAAGAACTATTTATTTGAAGTGAAAGAAACATCAAATAGATTTCCCAATGTCAACATCTGGTTTGCGGGTGAGAACAAGCACAAAGTACCTCGCAACGTTGGTCCGTCACACGTGTCCGGAAGGCCACCCACAAAAATCTTTCGGCTATCGATTTCGGAAAGTCCATTGTCGCCTTTTCGGTTCTCGTCAATTCGCTTCACATCTACGTCCTTTCCATCCACGTTCATGCGGACTTGAAAAACTCCGGGGCCAACCAACTGTTCAGAAAAAGTGAGTTCTTTGGGTTTAGGATTCATCTTCTACGTCGCTCGAAGGCAGACGATGAGTTAACTTTTGTTGCGATTTCAATTCTAATTTTGATTTTTCCCGAAATATCGAAACTGCGCGGATTAGTTGTAAATATCTTAGTTTCTGTTTCGTAGTACGGGTTGCAAATGACCCGGTACTAGGCCTCTTGACTTTGGCGGCGTGTATGTGCCGCAAGAACCTGGTGCAGGATACAAAACCAAGAGGCATAAAAATCAACAGCAAAAATCAAATCATACGCTTTCGACGCTGTTAGGATCCTGGAAGGTGACGAAACCGAAGCCCCGGGAACGCATCTGACCAGTCGCTTGATCCATGGACATCATGACATTGACATCCGACACCGCCCCGTATTGCTGTAGTATTTTTTTTTTTCAAAAAATACACATGTATGATTCAGAAGCATGCACGACATTTGTAGTATCTACATATATGGGATGCTTAGATTGACCGGCAAATATGGTCTAAAACTGATTTCTTTCCCAACTGCAGCGTGGAAATGGGATACAGTAGCAACCATAGTAAATCGACGACCACGACATGCAGCATACACACCTCCTTGTTGGTTTCCTAGTTTCTTATGACATAAGTCCAGTGTTGTGACCTAAACTTACATGATAAGTGCCTATGGCTATGCCCCGCTGCTACTTTTTACATGCTAAGTGACATAAATTTTTTTATGTATGGTGGTATTTGTGTTGATGCAAATGGTAGCGCGAAGAATAGACCCTAATGTGCTGGCATGCATGTAATGCGTATTGCGTCGCGGTTTACTTTTTTTTAGCATGATAGTCAACATTCTATCAGCAGGAATTAGTGCGCTTCCGCGGAAGTAGTAGGTACCGCAAAGTAGGCCATCAGGGATTCTTTCGTTGACTGCGGCGCTAAGCCGCCTATAAAGACCTTTCCGGCGTTGTTTTGCGAAGACATTTTGAGAACTTGCAATAGATGCGAACTATTAGGAGGTTAGGTGTCGACTAGTAGTCCTGCTGGTGAACCGGACTGAGTTAGGATGCTTAAGTAGTGACTAAATATACGCTACGTTCCTTACACCTATGTCGTACACAGATTGTTAGAATAAATTTTGAATTCCCTCTATGCTGACGACCCCGCTATTGAATTTTTTCGCCGTACTAGAAAATGTCGGCCACTGCGTCGCTATCACTACTATTTTGCAAATGCAAAAGCAAATGCAGCACCCTTCTGTGATATGATGAAAGTTCAAAATTCATATGACATGGATCATTAAGAAGAGGTTCGTTTATGTAAGTATGGTGTGTCAATTTTCACTACTTCTACCTCTACATCGACGCAGAATAATTAGGCCTTATAGTCGGATAGTGTGTCTTTGGGTTCTCGCTTTTGGCTTGTTATAGGATCTTGCCTTTATTCGCTTGGGGGCGGTACTGATCGTAGTTATGTTGGAATTTTTTCAAGAAATTTAGCTGTATTAGTCACCTGCAGGTCGTAGTAGCGACACTTTTTCTACGCACTACCGTGTATGTTTTGCATTTCGCATAGCTTGCGGTAGAACAGAACTCCCAATCTTTTTTTAGTATTCGAATGGCATGCGATTCCTTAAGTTTACGTTCATTTTTCTATTCGTACTTATTCTGTCGCGCACTGCTAGTTATGACTCTGTGGGTAGCGCTTACAGACGGACAGCACAAATAGCGAGAGGAGCACTATCTTTTTACGCGGATCAACCACAACAGGGGCCAGCAACAGCAAAGCGCACTTATTCTTCGCATGCGTATTTTTCACCTCTATGGTGAATAGCGGTAGCAGTGTTTTCAATTTTATTTTGGACACACAGGTTTGCTTGAGGTGACGAGCAATAAGGAACAAGAGAGTGAACTCAATACGGAGGCAAACATATCTGATACTTCAGGCGGCACTACATACAATGTCATAAGAAACAAAACGAATTGCTGTCGCAGGGACAAGCAGTATCTATACGCATCTATACATGGAATCAGACATGCAAAATCGCTTCACCTTTTCGTGTGCCACCGCTGCAGCTTGCTTGTTTGGCAAGCGGCATTGCCCTCGCCTGTTGTAGCGGCCAAATAGACGTGCGCTCTGCGGTCCGTCAGAGATCGGATGCGACATTTCGCCAGCTCTCAAACGTTCTGCGGAGAACGTTGCGCCGCAGCGCGGCCGCGAAGCGGTGGTCGACCTCGACGTTGTCCCACGTCTGCTGTGCCCAGTGGTCAAACAGGCGTGGGAGGATTTTGTAGCGTGTCCGTAGGTCCCGGCGAGTCTGTAGCTCATAGGTTATCAGTGCGAGTTGCCGCCGTTCCTCATCGGCACGTTCCTCCCTTGCTGCGGTGACACCAGTCATCGCAAGCCTATCACCGCGCCGGCCCGAAGCCGCGGGGTACAGAAAGGTCGTCGTGTTCGCCGCGTGAGATGAGGCGGATTTTCTTGCTCCGCCTCGTGCCGGTCGTGCTGGTGGTTCCTGTTCCATACTAAAAAAATGCTGGTGCCGAGCGTCGCCCGCGTGATAACGCTCGTCGAAGCGAAACCGTGCCAGGTGCTGGCTGTAAACATTGTTATCCGCAGCGCTCCCAAACGCGGGGGCGGCCGAGCGTGCCGCGTCGCAGGTGTGTGGGGAGATCTGTTCGTGCGACACTGGGGTCCGCTTCTCCCCCGACAGCCACTCGTGGGCCTTGTCCACCAAGAAGCTGGTACGATCCTCTAACGTGCGTGTGCGATTGAAGACGTCGAACCCTCGCAAGTGGTAAGCCGAATGCTGCGATCGCGTGGTGCGCTCGTCCCGCCGACTGCCCGCGCGGGGATCCGTAGCGGAGTTCTGCACCAAATCCCGAAACAGAAAAGCGCGTTTATCATCCACTACAAAATCTACTTGAGCTCAATAAATTTGTTGCTGCTGCAAACATAATTCTACAAGTACCAACTATGAATACCGAAACATCACTGACACCTCCAGGCCGAGGGAAATAATTTCTCACTTCCTTCTTCGGGAGCTGCTGATATGTTAATATCAATATCTGCTATGACATGGTGCACATGCAGCCACTATCTATTCCTCAAGAAGATTTCCTACGGGATACAATCCATTCCCGCCTTGTTGGTACATGTTCTCGTCTTCCGTTCCGGAAGGGGCCCATTGATGCCGTTCGTTCCGCATCAACTCGGATTCGTGCGCATGACTGAACTCTAGCTCCGAGAGGTCGTCGGCGTGGGCCGTGCGCAGTTGGCGCTCCAACAGTTGCGGTGGGAGCTGGCTGTATCTTTCTTGCGTGCTTGATTCCGCATGCTTCGCTTGGGGCAGAAAGTACTTTTGGTGGCGTTGCTCGAACAAAAGTGGTATCGAAACAAAATGTGAAGCTGAGACCACAGCAGCGCTATGATGTGCTTGGAGCATATTAGAGAAAGATCATTTCATTCTATATCTAATGTATTCATGTTACTCACGTACCAGACTATACATCAAAAATGCACTTCGCTTCGTGCCTGTTCGGAATTTCAAATTGGCAACGTTGTGTGCGTGACCTCGGTCGCATCATTTTGTTTGGATAATCCGAAAGAAGTTTTTTTTCCCTCGCGGGTCCAGCGCCGACGCTGCATTGATCGCATCTGCCTCGTCGCGCAAGAATGCATCTTCTCCCTGGTTTTTGTCCCTTCCTCGCACATCGACGATACCAAGCAGATCCATGGCGGATTCGCTCCGAAGATCAGTCGCCTTCATTCCTGCCGCCCGGCCTTCCTGCTCTCCGTAAAGCGCGAAAAGATTCGGAGACGTGTCCGGACGTGCCGTGGGATCTCGGCACTGATACCGAAAACTAGTTGCACTCCGGGCACCCAGAGCATGATTTTTTGCTGCATCTACTTTACGCTCGCCATCGCGCGCAGCTCGAGGCCCCTGATCGTCCCTGGGTGGATTACTGACGGGATTGTAGCGAGGATCAAAGGCTTCCCGGTCGGGACCCAGTTGCGTTTTCTTGAAGCGATGCCACTCGCGAAGCTCCCGGGGACCGCCGCTCCCACGCCTGAAAGAGCTTTTCGTCGCCGTCGAAGGTCCGTGCGCCATCAGCAACGAAACGTCTTCGCGCAGTCTTTCGCTCGGGGAAAGCTCGAGCGCGTTTTCATTCCTCTCTCGAAGGCTCTTTGCCTGCTCCGACTGGAGTCCCTCATCGCTAGCGGCCACCTTCCGTGGGCCCAAAGCAAACCCCAGCATGTCGCTGATTACTGCACCTGCTCGGGGGGTGAGCCTTTGGCAACGCGCTGGAAAGGGAAGTCGCCTGGTTCGTGAAGCGAGTAGGTGGTAGGATTATTCTTGATTTCCTCTGAATACAGGTACAGACGCCAGTGTTGCGACTTTGGGCTGTCACTGTCACAATGGCAACTACAGTAAAAAAACTGTGCAAAAAAAAAAACGACGCCGGCACTTATCTTCTATGCGTATGGACAATGAAATGTTGGTTTAAAACCCTTCCGGAAGCAGTTATGTATCTCGACAAGTGAAGCTACGCTACGACCCTTGACGATGTTCTGCAAAGTCATGGATGCAAATGCGATTGGACGCAGGCGCATCACGTAACCACAAGCATACCCTACGAACTACAACGCTAATTGGGAAATAGCTAGACCACGACCCCCAATGCCAATTATACCAAGTATTTGCATTTCAAATTCAACTTGCTTATGGCAATTCGAAAATAGACGCAATTACGACGAACGAACTCAGATCTTCAAGTGAGTTTTTCGATAAGTCGGCGTCGGCGGAATTTGACACAAAAACATATGATGAAAGAAACCAGGCCCATAGGTAGACGAGCTAAACAAGGAATACCTCTGACACGAACGGATCCTGGTCTCTGCTGCTCAGAGTGCGAGGGCGATGTCGGGCTCCGGACCGTAAATTGGAAAGTACTCTGGAATCCGTCCCCCGTGCCGATTTTTGCGGACCATGAGGGGGATGTCGTCTTCCTGCTGTGGCAGCGTGACGCACGTCTTTTGCGTCTCTGGGAGCCGCGTCAGTTTTTTGCTCTCCAAAAAGCGACGAATTTCGGTGGCATCTTTCCTCACGTAAAACATCTCGAATTCCGGGATACTATGATCTGGCGATATTGATTCCGAGGTGCTAGAAGCCACGACTTCACCATGCTCTGCAGCAGCACCGTCAAATTTCTGCTCCGATCTGACGTCTACGGGTGCAGCTTGCTCCGCTCCTACTGCAAAGAAACCCTCTGACTGCATACGTTCGCGCTTGCTGTCGTCGTCTAGCCCAAAAGTGTCCTTCGCAACTTGATCCAGCCACGCGGCTTTCTCGAAGTGAAATGCGAAGAGGGCCAATCTTGTTCCTACGTCATCCACTTGTGCATCGGGCGGAGTAGCTTCCTTGTCTTGTTCAACAAACCAATGCGAATGGGCCCAGTAGCGGTATGGGTCAATCGGTTGCCACGAGGGCACGCTCGTGCCGACGTAGACGGCCGGGTTGGCCGCGAAAGCGATACCTACCTCCTCAGGCACGCGCTCGTAAGCGGCGTTCGAACCCAGAAAGGCCGAGAAACACTTTTGGTCCACCAGATAAGGTCGGTCATACAGGTACTTAAACATGCGTCCCAGCCACTCCTGTGTCCTCAGTGTGCTGCGAAGGTAGTACACCCCGTTATTGATGCAGTCGTCGAAGATACTCCCCCCCACAAGCATCTCGACGTCATTATTGTTTCCCTCGGTAAGATGCCGCAGAAACGGCGTTGGGTTCCGTAGAAGATAGGTGTCAAAATCCAGGTATAACACATCGCGCCTATGCATTGCAAAAGCACCGCACCACACGTATTTATGGTATTCAAGAATTTTCAAAGAACGCATCCGTACGCTCATTGCGACATTAAAACGAGAGTATCTATCAGTATAAGCAATCTATCTGCTCCTGGTGATAGGATACAAAAATTTTCTGGAATGAGAAACTTTTGCACAAGATAGTAGCCCAGCTGGAGCAGGACCAGAGACAGCGAAAACTTGCCCAGCGCTTTGGAGTACCCCCGAAAACATCGTCCCTTCAACGTTGCGGAAGTAGCGCTGCCATGTTGACGTGAAGGACGAGCCGCCCCTGCTGCCGCGTGCTCGGAACCAGGTACTATACCAGATGCCGCCGCCGATGCTTGCACACAGGAGCGGTAGCTGACGTCGTCGTGCGCAAAGACGGCAAAATCAGAAGAAGCGTCCTCTGCGAGGATTGTCCGCAAGTGCTCGCAGAAGTGAGGCACGTACTTGCCGTACAGGCTCCCCCACACCATCGTCACGTACACCGTTTGAACTGCCTCGTCAAATTGTTCTTGCAAGAATCCATTATCTTGCGAAGAAAAGAATTCTCGGCGTAGACCCAGTAGTCGCTGCTTCTTGTCTCGATCTTTCTGGTGGATGTCGCCGTCGGTGCTCTCCTTGCCGTCGCTCTTTTGTTCGAAGTGCTCAGCTCCGTCGCCGGTGAGCAGCGCCAACTTTGCGCTGCGCCCAAAGAGCCAATCTTCGGAGAAGTCGAGCGAAAAAGAGTGTTTCAGGGTCATGCTGGCGGTCAGCCACAAAAAGCTCGAAACAGGCCACATCGAGGCGAACAGACACTCGAAGTTGCAGAGATACTGGCGGTCCACCATTTGGAGCATGTCGTCACGCGCGAACCCCTCATCGTCGCTGTTGAGCGCACGGCGAAGCTTCGGCGCGTCTTTCAGCGCTCCCGTCAGGCTGAGCTCAATCAGGGGCAAAAACATTTCGCTGCATTTCGTTTCGGTTTGTAAACACACGTAATTCTTGAACAGATTTGCGACCACGTAGCTCCACAAGCACTCGCGACCTACCTGCTCGAAATTTGCCCGCTGACTGATCCACTCTGTGAACGCAAACTCCATACTGCTGTGCGTCCAATCGTCCTGCCAAAAAAAGTGCAAACTCGACTGCAAGTCGTAGTTGTTGAACGCCCGCCGAAAGCTGTCGTATCGCGTCATGTTCAACATCTTCCTCATTTTGTCAGTCCTCACTCGTGCCTGCTCGTTGTTAGGAACAAGAAGATCTTTTCCATTGTTCTCCACCAACTCTTGATGTTCGCCTTGCGAAAGGTCGTGGACTGCACCTGCTTGCTCGATGGCCGACTCGTCGATCAAATTGCGGAAAATACCAATGAAGACATCGGGCAGCACCTTGTCGATCACTTCCGCTGAGGTAGTGTGCCGTTGAACTTCGGCCACGGCCTGTCGGACCGCATCGATGCGCCGCAACGCCGTCCGCGGATCGGCGCGCTGCGTGTATTCGGCAGATGAAAATACATTATGATTATCCGTTCGTTCGCTCGAGCTTTCGCTCGTGATGTCTACTTCGTGTCGCTGTTCCTCCAGGAGCTCCTCCTGCGGTCTGTCGCGCAAACAATTGATGTCACGGTCGTAGTAGATGTCGGCGAAGTAGGGCTGCCGCCATACCTGCGACTGAAGCAGAACGTGAAAGACTGGCCAGCGTGTGTACATTAGAGGCGCGAGCGTGAGAGTTTCTGACTGCGGGATCATCTTTCGTCGACGAGAAACCTGGTCACTGTACTGTGTCGTGTCATGGTAGTGCAGCTGTGATGTAGTCGTTGTTCCGGAATGACTCGCGTCGTCACCAAGGGTACTACGTTCTGCAGCAGCGTGGTTTGCAATGATTTCTTGTCCGTCATCCTGGGGTCCACTGCTGGCGCTGGCCCCTGCGTCCTCCGACATGCGATGCTCCTGGAACTGGGTCTCGCGCTCGACGGCGCCAATGCGTGCCGCTTGCGAAATCCCAGCATAACCGAAGTCGAGCCGCACGTCGTAGTCCTGCGTCGCCGGGAGCAGCACCTCCTCCAGCAGCTCCCGCTGCTTGGTGCAGGCATCGTGGATGGTTCGGTAGTGCAGCATGTGGCAGGCTACGTATTCCATGGCACCCCAGAAGAGCACCCCGAGGGGGCAGTGCGAGACAGCCGCCTCCGTGAAGTTGGGGTGCGCCATCATCTGGGCCCGCCGCAGCGCCATCGCCTCGTCAGTGTTGAGCAGCAGCCGCAGCGCCTCGGAGTACTCGCCCTCCCGATGGACGAAGTGCTCCTTCTGCTCAAACAACTTCCGCACCGCCGCACTGCGTTCCTGGTGCTCGCGGAACCAGCGGTCGAAATCGATCTGTTCCGTGTAGACACTGGAAGCGGGGACGTCACCTGCAAGCGCTTCGTCCGGATCGAAGTTCCGCACGTCCTCATCCTCCTGTCCCGGGGCGCCGACGACATAGCGGAACTGGATTTCCGGGACACTATGAATGTGTCAGGATCGAAATCGACAAAATCGAAAAACTTGTGATACGCAAAATCGATACCAGTTGAAGCCTCAGTTTTCAGGTGGCGCATGACATTGGTGGTCTACCGGCAGGACGTCCGGGTGGCGCGAAGGCCTCTTAATGAAAAATAAAACAATCAACCATAACTTAAGCATCATCATCGTCATTAAGTAATTAAGGAAACAAAACAGACTAAAGTCGTAAGCTAAGATGGCATAAGGTTAAGGATAGCCACTAGTACTGCTAAAGCGCTTGTCATACAGAAGTAGGCCTTTCGACAATGGAGTGGTGATAGAAGGCGCAACGAAAGGGCCGCGGCGCGGGGCAGCTACAACATGCAACATGAGTCGGGGCCCATGCTGCATGAGGGACAGACGTACGGCATGCGTCTAAAGTCAAGAGGCCGAACGTGATGCACGGCCCTGGAGGTCCTTATGCGTGTGGCAGTGAAACGCAGGTAAGAGGCCGCAAAGCCTCTGCTGCGCTAATCCGGACAGATCCAGCAAGCTGCAAAGAGCAAGCTGCACTCCCCAGCGGCATACCGGTGCTCCGACATGAGAGAGCTGTGTCCACCCAAATCCGCAACCAGGGCGGCGCCTCCACCAGAAATGGGAGCTCTCTCATGCAAGCATCACGAGCAAGCCCAAACAAACAAGGCGGATCCTGAAAAAATCAATCGTGTGCTCGCTTCTTTAGGCGAGCGAGTGACTGTCTAACGTACTATCTATATTCCTGCTTGTAAGTAGCTGGCGATCGGTGTCTCAACCGGTCACCACCAAGATCTGGAGAAACACCGCCCGTTTTAGTGGTGAACCAACCGATCTGGGGAGTTGCCTGAGGGAAAGCGAGCCGAGACCCTCAATCACCTCTGGCTTCAGAGCAATGCACTACTACCGCCTCCGTAGTGCCTCACTCAACCTCCGCATAGCCACAGGGTCCAAAGCAAGCCGCCTCTGCTTGCCCTTCCCTGCGTCAGAACAGGTGCTACAGAAATGACAGGTCCTAAGCAAGATCCTGAAAAAATCAAAACCCAGACGCTCGCAACCTATCGCCACCACTTTACGAAGTGCAACGTAGTGCGACGTAGTTCTACGATTCACACGAAGAGCAGACCGACAAATCGAAGGGCGTTGTCACTTTCTTTTCTTTACACCCTGGAAAAAACAATGATCACTGGAAAAAACAATTACACCCTGGAAAAAACAATGATCACTTTCTTTTCTTTACACCCTGGAAAAAACAATGGTCACTTTCTTTTCTTTACACCCTGGAAAAAAAGGGCGTTGTCACTTTCTTTTCTTTACACCCTGGTCAGGTGGCGCATGACAAATTTCGGGAGCGCCAAGATCCAGTTTGTCATGCTGTTTGGGCAAAGAAGACTGCTCCTGTCATGCTACTCTGGGAGCGCATCGTCTTCCTCTAAACAGGCTTGCAATCGGTCTCATTTGCTTGCTCCCCAACACAGGCCACGCGTGCCCTACATCTTATGCATTACAAGTTTTTCGATTTTGTCGATTTCGATTCTGACACTTCCATAGACACGCTCACAGTCGTAGTCCGGCAGGACATTCGGCAGATCTCGCCCCTGGGGATCGGAAAACTGAGTCAGGTTCACGTAACGACCCGAGTCGCCTGCCCCGGCACCCGCCGCGGCCGCCACGGAGGATGAAACGACCGTGTCATCGTGTGGAAGATCATGCCCAATCAAACTCGTGGTTTGTAGTTGTGCCGGCCACCGGCGCGGCAGCCGGGGCCCGAGAACGACCTCAGCCTGAGTTAGTGGGAAAAACTCGACGCGCAAATGGAGTAAAAAGAGAGGCAACGACAAGAACAAAGCGCGAAGACCATGACCACCAGATGGAAAGAACATAATCATGTAAAAAGAAAAACTCCAAGGCGTCGCTTCGAAGTCATGATCGTAGGTAAGTATATCAATGCAAATGTGCTACATGCTGTAATGATGTTGTTGCAAAGAAGGTCCAGTTTATTGATCCTGAGGATAAAGGGCGTCGAAAAAGAACTATCAGAATGAAAAGTACCCCCCCCCCTCAAACAAATGACAACCAAAGTAAATGCAAAGCAAATGCAAAGCAAAAAACATCAAATGTTTCTTTTGGAAACATTTGAAAAAGACAAAACAAAAAAAATGCGTGCCGCGCAAGTGTGTTTTGCGTAAATTGCATTTGCCCGGGCGGCAGATACAGAGTGGGAAGGCGAAAAGTTGTATTTTTATGGGATGCGCCATAGCATGCGGAATGGCTCACGGGCGTGGCCCGCGAGGACCGCCGTAGCAGACGGATTCAGTTTTGTGACAAAAAAGAGCAGCTTCCTGATGCGGCGCCGTGCCGTCGTGATTCGCGTCCAGTGGTTCTGCCCGGGTGGCAGATACAGACCGGGGACCTCGAAAAAAGCAAAAAGCTGCGTTTTTATGGGATGCGCCATAGCATGCGGAACGGCTCACGGGCGTGGCCCGCGAGGACCGCCGTAGCAGGCGGATTCGGTTTTATGACAAAAAAGAGCAGTTTTCTGATGCGGCGCCGTGCCGTCGTGATTCGCGTCCAGCGG